CGCCCCGACCGAGGGGCAGGACAATGGACGCGTCCAGAAATACTACCCGAGCGACTTTCACTGCGACCCGGGCAAGCGCATGGACCAACTGATGTGCGCCGCCGAATGTGGTATTTCGCCACCTAGCCCGACCTTGCGCGAGGAGGCTAGCTTGGACCTAGAGTCTGAACCCCGTTCTCAATTTTGGGATGAGGCCCCTCCCCGCACCACTGAGGACACCGCGGGCGACGCCCGTGAAGACATGGGAACGCCCCCCGCGGCCCTTGGCCAAGAGCAGTCTGCCCAGCACGCCACGGCAAAGGCAGCGGATTTGCTGCTGACAGGCACGCCCCCTGGGCCATCGCGCCCAGTAGCTCGTGCAGCGCCCCGGGACGATTCAGAAGTGTTCCTCGTCGAAGAGAGCCCTCCTAAGCGCAAGGCTCTTGCAGATTTCATTGACGCACCTGGGGCAGGGACTTCCGTGCCAGGGGAAACGCCGCCCAAGACTCCGAGCGCCGAGGCGGCGTTGGAGACGCCATCGAAGACCTCAGTGAACGCCCCAGGTATGCTTGCAGAGCCACCGCAGCCCAAGAAGCCTCGCACTTGGACGTTGAGGCGTGATCTTCCATCTGGTAGCGAGCATTTAGACTGCGAAGACGGCGCCTCGTATGAGCGTCGCACGCTAGGTTTCCCGAGCCAGGAGTCGCGTTTGAACCCGATGGCCATGCTTGGCCACTAGCTTACGAGCGCAAGTGTCAAGGCTCGCCAATGTCAGAAGTGATCCGCAATACTTTAAGATAGACAGGAGGGGCACGAAGACACGGGATAGGTAGGATGAGGTGCATGATGATGAATCTAACGGTGGTCGCAAGGGGGGTTATTATGAGGGAATAGACGGTGAGAAGGATGAGGATGATATCGAGGATGAGGTTTAGAGGAGGAGGAGGAGGAGGACCAGGAGGACTTCCAATCGATCCCCTGCCTGGGTCGCAACGCCTCTGACCACATGCGAGTTTTTTGCGTTTGAAGCGTTGCGCGTGGAGGCCATCTCAAAGGTGCCAGCTAGGTTTTAGCGGCCCTGGGTCCCAGGGGAACTCTGTCGTAACAATGGTGCGCTCTGCAGCGTGAGGAGATACAGTGTGTCCTCCTGACCTCCTCTATTTGCTCATGCTCATCCTCTCCTCTTCGCCTACTTGGCCTCATGGTCATATCCCGTGTTCGCCCTCCGTTTGGCATGTCCTACTTGTCCGTCTCTTGTCCGTCTCCCCGATCCTCCGCTGTCTTTCGTCGTCGACTCTCTCCCTCTGTCTGTTACGTCGTATTCCCTTCCCCCACCTTCGCCATCCTCGTCGTCCTCGCCCTCCTCATCCTGCGAATGTTCTGGGTCGCATTCCTGCGTCATCGCACTCACCGTGGCTTGACGACTCTCCTGCAACACGTGTCTTTGCTGCCTCCTCTGCCCGCCCGCTAACGCTGCTGTTGGGTCGGCGTCGACTGGGCGCTCGCTGGTGCAGGCGGGCCGCCAGCGCCCGCCCTCTGCTTTCTGAAGAGAGGGGGGGGGCGCAATAAAAGGAGCGGGGGGAGGGTGGAGGAGGGACTGAATAAGAAATGTGACAATGAGGCAGAAGGAGGAGGATGATAGAGCAGAGCATTTGGGAGGAGAAGGAGGAATCAGATTTCAGACTGGGTGAAGCGGAGCGGCCCTGCCCTCCTGGCTTCTATAGTCGACTGCATTGCGATCGCACGTATCGACCCGTCATGCATTGTAGATGTGTGCGTATGTATATAGTTATCCTGCGGATACCACCACGGGTGCTATCGTGAAGGCTGCCACGACCCACGGGCAAGAATAACGAAGGCCCTTGCCCGAAAAGAAGCGCAGAGCGGAGGCGGGTGCCAAACTTGATGGGAGAAAAGCACCCTGTTCCGCCACCTCCCCAGGGGGACTTCGAGAGGAAGTGTAGGATGAAGGTGGGGAAGGATGGATAGGACTATCCACAATCCTCACTCCTCTACCCCAATGTCCTTAGTTTGTCTTTCGGGCCTCCTGGGCCTCGAGCCTCGAATCGAGCCTCGAGCAAATTGGAGGCCTATAGGGGGAGCTCACACAGTCACCTCTTCGAGAGGGCGCCTAGACGTGAGAATGAATCTGCGAAGTTTCATCGAGTTAGACACCTCGGGTCCCAGAAACCGGGGCCGTTTGGGAACAGGAGTGTGACCGCGAGATGTTCTCCTTTCCTTCCAGCGAAGGACCAAGTGTTGTCGATTCCCCTGACAGGGCACCGAGACGGCCCGCATCCTTCGCGAGGTCGCCGAGGGGGCTTGGCGAGGTTCACGGGGGGGGCCGAATGGTAACACCTAGGGGGGCGACCAGGACGTCAATGCATGACTAAGTCTCCCCAGCCTCCCAAGCGCGCGTTTGGCAAGGGGGGTCGAGCAAACATGCGTCATTCATCATATGACTGGGCGGAGTGGAAGGGCGAGGATGATGGGGGGGGGGGGAACGATGTGACAGATGCAGATCATAAACGAGGGCTTGGGGGATGCGGGTAAAGGCGAGGAGGCGAGAGGAATGGGGGAGGGGTGGTATGAGGAAGTATCGGCTACGGCGCAACAAACAAGGATCATGGCCAATGTACGCCTTAAGAACAATTAGGGTAGTCTTGGAAGCCCGTTTCCTATGATTGGGGTTTGGCCATCATTCACCTTCCCTGCCTGGTTCTCACCATCTCTATCCTGGTGGACCTCATCCGTGCCATCCTCATCACGATCCTTGCCATCCCACTCCGCAGCATCGCCCTCCTCCACCTCCTCGATTGCCCCTGCCTAGAGGCACGCCAACGTTCTGCAGCGGGGGGGAAGGAGGGGAGGTGCGGCAAGGACGTCGCGCGCCCAATCAAGTGCCTTCGATCCCCCTGGTTCCAAGCGCACCTAACACAGGCAGGGGACGGATCGTGACATCACAAAGGGTCCCGCCGAAAGACTCTAAGTCCCCCTTCCGTCTCATGATAAATGTGCACGCGGCTGTGGATTTGACTTGCTGCGTGCCTTCGCCCACGGTTGCTTCCCTCAGATCCAGCGATTACTGTCTTAGCCTAAGAGGGGCCAGCATGGAGCCTCGGAGGCAGGTGGAGACGAGTGCCCGCGAAGGGAGGAGGGATGCCCGATGAGGGAGGAAGAGAAGGTAGCAGGAGGGATGACAAAAGAGGAGGGGGAGGGATACGACCGCCAGGCTCCCGAACACAAGCGGGCCCCGTAAGTTCCCCCGTGGTGGACCCCTGCCAGGCAAAACTTAACGCCCTCCTCTCCTCCTACATCGCAGCCTCTTTTGGCTCAACCATCCCTTGCAATCGTCATTCCGCGAGTTGCAATGCTCGCTGTGCCCGAGAGCTTGCAGACCTGCTCCCGCCAGCTTACGGATGGGCGAGGCCGCGAGAAAGGCTCGGAAGGTGATCCAGAAATCGCTCGGCCTGGGCGGCGACGGTGGGGCCGCTGACGCTCCTGCGCCATCGAACCAGAGCGTTGCCCGCGGGGGCGCCGCCATTTCGCTGGGCGGGGCCTCCGCCAGGACTGCAGGAGGTAAGCGAGCTGTTGAACAGAAGCTGAAGGAGGGGAGGTCACGGACCGCCAGGCAAAAGTAGCCAGGGCACAGAGAACGGTCTGCGCCATCAACTCGTGTTCAAAAAAATTGACGGCCGCTGAGAGGAAGCAGTTCCATATCATGTGCGGAGAGCACTTTGACACCTACTCCATCGGCAACACCTACTTGACGGACGAGGAGGTTGCCAAGCTCACCGAGACTGACGAGGGGTTTGCCAAATGCTTCGACGCAGCTCACGAGCATCGAGTGGCACAGGACGCGTACCCTTCTAAGTTCCCTGATACCGACGTCCACGTGGACACTGCCCAGGCCGCGTCTTGCGAGAGGCGCGTCGGCTTCTACGCGAGGAGCGACATCTGGGAGAAGATGGGGTACATGCCTGAGCAGCTGCAGCACAAGTGCCAGAAGTTATGGACTGAGGGTGTGTGTGTGTGTGTGTGTGTGTGTGTGTGTGTGTGTGTGTGTGTGTGTGTGTGTGTGTGTGTGTGTGTGTGTGTGTGTGTGTGTGTGTGTTTGTGGTGTATGCTTTGTGTGGTGCGTGCTTTTTGTGTGTTGTAGGTGTTGTGTGTGGTGTGTGTGTGTGTGTGTGTGGTGTGTGTGTGGTGTGTGTGTGTGTGTTGTGTGTGTTGTGTGTGTGTGTGTGTTGTGTGGTGTGTGTGTGTGTGTGTGTGTGTGTGGTGTGTGTGTGTGTGTGTGTGTGTGTGTGTGTGGTGTGTGTGTGTTGTGTGTGTGTGTGTGTGTTGTGTGTGTGTGTGTGTGTGTGTGTGTGTGTGTGTGTTGTGTGGGTGTGGTGTGTGTGTGTGTGTGTGTGTGTGTGGTGTGTGTGGTGGGGGGGGGGTGGGGCGGGGGGGGGGGGGGGGGGGAGGCCAGGAGGTCTTAGGCGTCTTGACGGAAGAGACAGAAGGTGCGCCCCGTGTTTTCGTGATCTCGTGCACGAAGACCGTTCAGAAAACGGAGTCGAAGTCTCGCAGCTCCGCCACCATCCACATGGAGCAGCCCGCCAAGATGTACGCTCAGTCCGTGAGCGGCTTGAAGGCCGAGTACTGCCCCAGCGGTGCGCCGATCATCTCGCTCGCCACCCTTTTCGAGAGGGCCGCCAGGAAGAAGCAGATGGCAGAAGAGAAACAGCGGTTACTCGAGGAGTGGGGGATCCGAATCACATCAATGCCCATCTGAGGATGCCACCGACCCCCATCAGTTATTCCGGACCGCCTGGGCCTCGTGTCAGGGAAGGGGGGGGGGTCAGGAAGGTATAAGTATAGATGTGATCGAATCTCCCAATCAGGAAGAGGGTTCCATTTTCGCGGGAGACGCCGACTTCCCAGAGGAAGCCATGCGTGGGTCGACTGGGTCAGCTCCAGCAGCTGCCGCGTCATCTCCAGTGGCATCGCCTCGCGGCAGCCCGAGTGTGAAGGGTGCCATGTCCGACGACCGTCGGAGCAACCAGCAGAGCCCTCAGCAGCCTGCTGGGGGCGCAGCGGTCTCGGTGGCGGGCGACGACATCGGTCTCAGCGTGGACCTCGCCGAGCTCATGCAGACGGACCCCGTCAAGGCGAAGTGGCAGCTCCAGGTCCACAAGGTATCCCACTCGTTGGCCCTGACAGGCAGCAAGGCTCTTGGAAGGCAAAGGAACACTCTGAGGCTCTACGCAACCGAAGCGGACCAGATGGGGCGGAGCGAGGGCGACAGCATGAGGGAGCACGCCGATCTCAACCAGGAGATCGAGAAGCTCATCTCCGAGAATGCCTGGTTCACGATGGCGAGGCCCGCGCTCGACGAGTTGCTCTTCAAGCTCAAGGAGAAGGGCATCGACTTCCCCACCAAGGCCAAGAACGACTGCGCGGCACGTGCTATCGCGGACTGGTCGCAGAACACGACAGAGAGTCTGGAGACCCGTGTGGCCAGCCTGCTCGACATGGTCCAGGCGTGGCCGAAACCTGGGGAGGAGGCGACGTTTGACCCCTTGCAGCCTCGTGTGCGCCACATGGATGGCTCGCCGAAGGACCTCATGGCTACGATGATGGATACGGTGCTGAAGAAGGTGATCATACCGCTCCTCAAGGACGGTGCCAGCAGCTTCGACTGCTTGCTGAGGGTGATCAGGAACATCATCACTATGATCTCGCAGGCCAGCGACGAGGAGAACCTCGACTTCGAGCCCTACGAGGAGTCGGGGGACACCATGCTCTCGATGCTCCGTGGCATCGCGGTGGTCATACAGCCTGACATTGAACAGCAGCGCGAGCTCCAGGCCACCAACAAAGACTTCGACAAGCTTCAAGCGGCCTCTGCGAACCTGCAGCCAGGCGAACTCAGCGTCATCGCAACGATGAAGCAGAACGGCCACTACAAGACCCTCCTTGCGGAATACATGCGTTGCAAGCCCCACTATGATGATATCATGCCCCGCTTGACTCAGAGCCAGAAGCAGCTGACGGAGCTCGAGATCACCCGAGGGTTCCAGGACAACTGCCTCATCGTGCTGAATGCTTGGAAGATGAAGCCCGGAGCGGAGAATAAGATACGCAGTGCCCAACTCAAAAGCATGTCAGGGTGCCTCGAGACCTCTACCATGGCAGCGCTGACAGATGCGCTCGACTCCGTCAAGAAGAATACGCTTCCACAGAATATGTCAGCCAACTCGAGGGAGCTGCTCACGACGTGTAAGGATGCCAAGTTCGATATCCTCTTCGCCGACGAGCTCAACACTTTCGTAGAGGCCGCTTCTAAGAGACAGACGGTGGGCAGCCATACCACCAGCTTCTGCGACGCCATGGGCTCGTTCAGCTTCACGGCCCCTCGCGACACCCGCCAAGGGGCTGTAAGCAGCCTCTGGGATGGCCAAGACCTACATCGACTTCGGCGTGACGACGAAGAACCAGCGCGTCGAGGACGCGATATACGCCTTCCTGGGTAACACCATGCTGCACATGGGCAAGGACGAGGACTACAACCTCTTGGAGGGCACCTGCAGTTTCATGATGAGCCAGTGCCAGCTCTGCTCGATCCTGCTGGACATCGCGGGTGAAGTGCGCCACGACATGGTAGCGACCAAGACGGCCTTGAATAAGTTGAGCGGCCTGCAGTGGGACTTCACCAACGTGCACAACTACAAGAAGCTCGGCGACGACGCCGAAAAGCGCATCATGGCCGACAATAGTTCCGTGGCCCTCAAGCGCTTCGTGGCGGCGAAGGAGGCCATGCTTCAGGTAGAGGGCGTTTCGTGCTGGATGCATTCCGATCCAACTTGTGCAACGCTGCAGTTTACCCAGGGCTCCAGAGGGGGGGGTGTAGGAAGGAGAATAGGGGAGATGAGGGATGAGGAGTCGGAGAAAGGGCGGAATGGTCAAGATACGAGGGGTAATAATGACGACATGCGGGGGACCAGCAGGAGGGAAGATGAGGAGGGATTCTGAGGAAGGAGTAGGATAATGTAGATCGCGTACGAGGGGGTCTGCTCAAGAGCAGGGTGCTCAGCGTTGCCAGTTGGACGTGGAAGCGCGTCTAGCCGGAGACATTCCAAGGCGAAGGATGACATCTTTCCTGCGTTCTTCGGGCGCTGGTGCGACGAGGTGAATGAGATGGCAGCACAGGCTAAGGAGCTAGACTGCACTGCGCGCGTTGATAAGTTCGCGAACGCTGCCGCCAAGCTCGCTCGAGAGTTCGTCTGGGGGTGCGCCTCCGGCAAGTGGTATGGCGGGCTCTCGACCGACGACCCGTCCAAGTTGCCCGACTACCACGAGCGCGCCAAGACATCGCCCTACCCGAACTGCTCACCGTCCAAAGCGAAGACCGAGATCGACAGCTTGAATCACAGGATGGAGGCAGCGACCTCCGCCATTAAGATGCACCTTGACGTGGACGAGGGTCGCGCGGAGAAGATGGCGACAGCGGTGGGCGTGCTCAACCGCCTGAGGATCTCGCACTGCGAAGGGATGCTGCTCATCTGCCTTCGCGACTTCGCCGACCAGCCTCTCAAGCTGAAGCGCAACGTCAAATCGCACATGTCCTTCCTGCCCGAGCCGCTTCACGGTGAGTTGCCCTTGCCGCTGTCCACGAAAGTCGAGGAGATCACGCAGGGCAAGAAATGATGAGTTCTTGTGGGGTGCCCACGCAGTTCGCTAGCAGTTTTCGCCAGCCTCAGATTTAAGTAGAAGCCTGGATGCAGGAACGCACGAGTTGCTCGAGATGCTGCTATTCCTGTTTGCAGCTGCTTTGGTATGCCCGCTTCCAGGTTGGGCGCGAGCGGTTGCGCGGCGTGCCCCAGTGTGCCCTTGCTCTTCATGAGAGGTGGGTCGACGAGGGGGAGCGGTACACACGCCGCGCACATAATGCAGGCAACATCGCACGACGATCGGGAGGGCTATGGTGCACGCGAGCTTTTCGATTCCAACACCTGCCTGCCCAACCGCAGTGACACAAACAAACACAACACTGCATAGTCATCATAACCACTGCCATCATCTCATCATCCTTGACCTCCTCATCGTATGAATTCCCTCGTCCTTTCCCTCTCGTGCTTCGCTCCACCGTCTTCCGTGTTCTCCCTCCTCCTCTGACTTCTCGTACCTTCGCCTTCCCTCGCCTACCCCTTCAGCTAGAATGTCTCATCGCCTCTGCGGCGAGGACTGTGACTGAAGCCCTTCCACGCCTCAAGTGAAATAAAGGGGCTTAGCAAAGAGGGAAACGGACGGGGGGATGACGGGAGGATGGGAAAGGCAGGTAGGGAGGAGAGGATGGAGGGGGCGGAGGAGACAGGAGGAGGAGGGGAAGTGGACGGAGTGAGAGGACGAGAAGGAAGAGAAGGGGGAACGGGGCAGAAGAAATGACCAGGAGGGAGGGAAGAAAGGAAATAGTCTGGAGAAGGGCAGGGGCGTTACGGAAGAGGGAGAGGGAAGGCGGGAGGAAGAGGGCCCACCGTCCCGCCGCGTGGCTGGGCGCACGACGGCGACCAGGAGGCAGCCCGACACTGCCCCTTTCCCGCCGCTGCGATGCGCCCTGCTCGCCCTGCCTCCTCCTGTTCCTGCCTGGCCTCCTCCTCCTCCTCGCCCATCCTCGCCTCCAACCCTTGTGGGCTCGATGTTCGGAGACGTCCGCCATGGCACAACGGTGTAACACTGCTTTGGTAGCGGATCGATTTGACACTTAATCGAAAATACCATTTTGGCAACCATTTGGGTTACCATCTTATTTCGCTCAATTTTTGGGCGACCATTTTGGCGACCATCTGGGCGACCATTTTTTGGGGGCGACCATTCTGGCAACCATTCGGGCGACCATTCTGGAACCATTTTCGGACATCCAGCCCTGTGCGCAACATCGCCTTCACAACCATACACGTCTTACCAATCGCCCTGTGTGGTAACCCCTCTTGTGATCGGTTGGTTTTGCCGATTGCGAATCGGCCTCGCATGAAGTTCCGATTCTGCTGCACGACAGCGCCAAAGCCTCATGACTTAGCTCTTCCATGGCCCATTCTCCGAGAGAGGGGGCCGGCGGCAGGGGGCGAAGCCCTTACGGATATCAATTTAAGAACAACAATCAATTTCAGACTGATCGCTCTTACTTGCCCGCGTGTCTTGCAGTCCGTATACCCCAACCCTCGATACCCGCCCACTCCGTTTTCGATTGCACCCCTTTTCGGGGAGAGTCTCTTCCTTGTCGGCTACTGACTGAAGCGCGAGGAAGTCTCGAGCGAGAGCACCGTGCCTGAGTTTCAGGGTTTCCCTGGCCGGGGGCTCTCGGAATGCCCATGGACAAACATCGAACGGGAACCCTTGTCGCCATGGCCAGGCCTCCACCAACTTGCCTGAATTACACGAAAATCTCGGACGAGAGCGTCATTCCTGAGTTCGGGGGTCTTCTTGGCCAGGGGCTCTCGGAGTAAACCGTGAGAAAGTATCGAGCAGGAACCCTTGTCGTCGTGGCCGGGCCTGCGCCAAGTTCATTGACTTGCGATGAAGTCTCCAGCGGGAGCGCCGTTCCTGAGTTCGGGGGCATGTCAGGCCAAGGTGTCTCGGGGTGAGGAAGTATCGAACAGGAGCCGTTGTTGTCGTAGCTGGGCGTCAAGGGCCCACTTTAAGGCTCAAGCCAACGCTCGAGCGGGAGCCTCGTTTTCCAAGAACAGATAGCCGGCGTCGAAGCGAGAGCGCCCGGAACCGTTTCCCTGGGAATTCAACCACAACATAAGCAACAACAACAACAACAACAACAGCAACAACAACAACAATCATTTTACCCGAACGCTCAGTGTTCTCCCCAGTGCCAGGGTTTTCTTGCGACACCAGCCAATACCCCCACTTCGTGGGGGGGCCGTTCAAGCTCTACCAAATATCCAAACGACTCTTCGAGACCACCCACACCCAGCTTCCCGCCGTATGACGTTGGGACACTTCACTTCGTGGCGCGCGGACGACCCTGGCTACTACACTGGCGTGGGGTACACACCCACAGAGGTTGATCACATCTGTTACATATGATGTGGTACACGGTACACGTGAGATGGTACGCAGTGCCAAGATAGTTGGTCACATTTTTGGGGCAAATTCGTGGGGATGCGACTACAGAAGTACATGTGTTACACTGATGTTATACCGTCCCAAGGATGACGCATGCATTGCTCATAGACTCATGGCGCTATGATCCTAACTCTCAGTGCCCAACGCGCGCGTGCACAGCCAGACGGAGGGAGAGAAACACATGTATACAAGGTTCGTGACATACGCACGGTCCACCATGTTGTACACGATCGCATGCACGGTAAGTTCTGAAATTATACGTATGTACAAGCAGACATGCGAGGGAGAAAGGGAGATGCCATCGACAGTTCCAATACGGCTCCAAGGCGGAAGAGGGGGAGGAGGAGCAGGACAAGGAGGAAAGGAGAGAAGCGAGAAAGGAAGAACGCAGACGGCGCGGCTCTGGACACAAAGGGGTGCCATACTTTCTCCTGTTTTCGCAAACAGGTCCAGTCACACGTAGGGGTATACTCAACCGAATGGTCTTCGCATCCAGAAGCATACTAAAGGCGCGACGCATCGTCGTCTGCGATGGCGCGGAGCGGGCGCGTGGGTGCCCGGCTGCCTGGCTGATACACGTGCGGGCCCGGCTGCCTGGCTGATACACGTGGGTCCCAGATGCCCAATGCGGTGCTCCCTTGGGACCATCTTGGGCGCCTCTTTGGGCCTCATGGACGCCTCTTGGGGCCATCTTGCGCGCCGGTTGGGGCCATCTTGGGTTTTAAAGATTCATCAAGAGACCGCGAATGGATTTCGAGATTTTTCGGATGAGAAAGTAGTGCGTTTTCATATGTTTTCTGAACATCGCATCTTGAAATTATTGAAAACCCATTGTGTTTGGCAGGATTTCGACATGCGCGCGCGGTGGCCCTCGCAGGCGCGCAACCGTTGTTGGAGAAGTTCAAAGCACCTGAAGAAGTAGCACGCAAAGACCCTTTTGACAGAAATGTTTAAAAAGTGGTGTGTTTCCTATGAATCCGCAAGAGCGCGCGGAAGGACATTTTGACAATTTTTTCTTAAAAAAACATTGGGTTTTTGATGTTTTTTATGTTAAAATCGTTACGAAACCTAAGGTTTTGGAAGGATTTCGTCTTGCGAGCGCGACTGTCCACTTTACCTTATTTTTTGCAAGGGATTCTTGAAATTTGATCAACTAAGAACAAGAATTTTCATTTTCTATTGTTTTTGCAGGGAAAACGAGCTCACCCAAAAAAACCGGATCCGGGGTATCCAATTTCTGAAGCTTTCGCAGAACAATGATGATGAAATGTAGCTGCGGCCTAGGTTTTGGGCGGGGGGCGTGCACCAGGGGGTCCAACAATAATAATTCTTTAGAAATAATAGTGTTCAACAACAATAATCTTAAGACTGATCGCTCTTATATGCGCGCGCGTCACTCAATATGTAAATCCCAAACCCTCGATACCCACCCGCTTCGTTTTCGGTCATACCCCTTTTGGGGTATATCTTTTTTACTCGCCACGTGTAGATGGCGCAGCCCCTAAAACAGGAAGAGCAGGGGGGTCCACAACACAGTTTGATGCTAAGTTGTGAGGGAGGTCCCAGGCGGGAGCGCCGCTCCCGGAGTAATTTGCAAGGAAGTCTCAAGCGGGAGCGCCTCCGCCTGAGTAAACTGCGAGGAAGTCCCAGGCGGGGGCGGGGGTCCGGAGTAATTTGCGAGGAAGTCTCAA